CCGCCAGCAGCATGTACATGGGACACACCCACCACCTGAAGTCATCCCACTTGTCTGTGTTTTCATGGCCTGTCTTCTTGCACCAGCATAAAAGCCTCATGAGGGCCGTGGCCTCATCTGCCTCCGTCACCCTCTCTCCCCAGCATGTAGGACAATCTCAGGCAGGTCACAGGCCCTCAGTCCATGCTTTCGAGTCATTGCATGTGTCCTGTGCCAACAGAGACCGTGGACAGGGAGGATGGGGGAAGGAAGCCTTGGGTGAGAGGGCTCTGGGCAGACACATCAGGCCAGAGTCAAAAGCTAGTTGACAACGGGGGTGGAGGCGCCTCATAAATACTCTGCCTTCGGTAAACACCTTCAAAGGGGGACTTGAGAGAACCCTTCCTGTGACACACGGGCACAGCATCTCCCTTTGTCACGTACGAGCACACACACCCTCAATTCCTCATCTGCGCACATTCACTCCAGCTTGTTGACTAAGCTACATAAACATACGTTCAGACACACAGGCGTGCACCCACATTCGCCCCATTTCTCTCTTTAAAAGTCCTCCCTCTTCCTTTCCTGAAATGCTGTCATTCCCGTTCTCTCGGTTCCTACCCGATTTCTGAGACACACAACATGTTTTAACTCCTTGGCTGCTGCAGGCGCGGAGTCCATGAGAGAGGAGCTCTGAGAGTCTCAGGCAGCCTTTTCTCTCGTCTTCGCTCAGCGTTCGGTGAATGCTGGATGTCCCCAAAGACGTCCTCTCTCCGAGAACAGTCACCATAAAGCATTGACGTGTCAACTTAGCCTGTCACTGAATCTCGTTTATTATATTTTTTATTTATTTATTTCAGGGAGAGGGAGAGAGACAGAAACATCAATGATGAGAGAGAATCATCCATTGAATGATCGATCGGCTGCCTCCTGCACGCATACTGGAGATTGAGCCCACAACCCAGGCATGTGCCCTGACCAGGAATTGAACCGTGACCTCCTGGTTCATGGGTCAATGTTCAACCATTAATAATTACAATGCAAAATTAACAAAAGATACAAAATTAAAGTAGAAATCGTTAGAAACACATGACTGACCCCACGGTTAGAAAGATTTTAACAAAGAAATTCTCCCCAACTTTCTTCTAGTATTTGTATGGTTTTTTTAAAAAAACATTGAAGTCTTTGGTCCGTTTGAAGCTTTTTTTTTCTTCTTCAACTTTTTCTCACCCGGGGAAGGGGAGTCCCTTGTGTCCTTTCTCCATCCAGCCACCCTCAGAGCCCCCCTTTCATCCTAACCTGAACTTGGCCCTGCACTCGCTTAGACATGACAACAGCTGCCAGCCATGTAGACTTCAGGGAAAGCCTGCGCCCCTCAGGCACCTCCCAGAGCGATCAGAATCCCCCCATGAACTTGAGCTGTCTGCGGGGAAACAGGTTTGGGGAACTGGAGGAGGCAACTGGAAGGAACTCAACAGCGGGAGGGACCCCCGACGTCGGTTGCCTCAGCCACTTAAAATTCTTGGGAGCCCCGGACGGAGTCGCTTGGAAAGAGAGAAAAACGGACTTAAAAAGCCATTCCGGGGCTTGAACATGTGTTCTTCGCTGGTAGAATTCAGGACGAGGATTTGGAGGACCCGGTGGGAGTATCTTTCACTGCGCTCCCCTAATCCTCTCCAAATCGCCTAGGCGCTACAGCTGTTGGTGAGCCCGATAAACTATGTGTTCAATTATTCTTGGCCTGGATGGGGCGGCTCGCCTCAAAGGCTTCGGGATGTAGAATTCGGGCCACTTCAATCAGCCAGGCCCTCCCAGGGCTGCCTCCAGGAGACAGGGCCTGTTTGAAGGGCCAGTGCTTCCCAGTCAGACTCTCTCTCCCTTCTTCTTCCTTTTCATCTCCGCCCAGACGGGGCAGAGGCGGCTGACACCTCCCCACGGACCCGGGGGTGGCGGGGAGCGGAGTTAGCTGTGGGACCCGTGCCAAAGCCGAGAACCCAGGCGATAAAATAATTACAAATGAAAGGGAGATTAGCGGGCCCTGTCGGGACAAATGCTTCCAAAATGGTTCCTGAGATCTCGGGCCGGCACATTCTCAAAGGAGACGGGCGCAGCAGCTGCTGTCGCCATGGCAATGGGGCAACAGATGCCCGGCTGGGCGCGCTGGCTGCAAATGGCAGGCCCAGCCAAACGCCAGCCACGGGCACGGAGATGACAGACCGGGTCGCCTTGGCATCATGGAAATGCGCTGGTAATTAGCACAACTTTGTGTTCTCCTGTGTCTGCTCTCCCTCCGCCTCCCCTGGCCACAGCAGAGTCCCGCTAATAAATGGTTGACAGCTGTTGAGAGACGGGCCGGGGCTGGAGTTGCTCTGAGAAAGGCTGTCTTTGGGGATCCCCCAAGGGCTGCTGGTAGCTCCATCTCCCCCACTAAGTGCTCATCTGCACCCCCTTGGGCAGGTTCCACCTTTGGCGACTTCACTTCCTTGGCCTCCTTTGGCAAATGCCCATTTGCTAGTTTCTGTATGTTTTTCACCACGTGTGGGCCGTGATCCACCCCCACCAGAATCACCTGGTTTGCTTGTTACAGGGGCAGGTCTGAGCGCGTCAAGCCAGGCCTCCTGACTCAGAAACACCGGGCATGAGCCCCCATCACGTGCAACTTCAACGAGTTTCTCACGTGCTTCCCACGTGGCCTTGAGTTTGGGTCCACCCCAGGGCTCTGCCACGGGGCCGGGCTCTGCCCACTCCCGCCAGCCGGACCTTAACTACCCAAGTCGCCAACATCAACCCAGCTTTGCTTGAGCCTCCCCAAAGGCTAGAGAGAGATCCGGGAGGAGCTAAAAAGGCCGGGCCTGTGCGTCCATGGCTCCGAGGTGAGCAATAGTTGGGTGTCTCCGAGGTGACAATCCTTTCTCCCGTCCGGACACACAGTGACGGGCGTTTTTCTTTCCATGTCGTGCCTAATGCTTTGCAGACTTCTGGAGGGGAACGAGGGCAGCTCAGAGGAGGGACTTTCCCGACCTGGAAGTCAGTCATCTGTAGCCACGGTGTGGGGAGACCCAGGGGAGAGGCTGACCCCGGAGCTGGACCATTCGTTCTTGGCCTTCAGTGCAGCGGGTGAGCCCTGGACCCTCTGCGTTTCCACATAGTTAGGAAGATGGCTTCATGCAGCCTCCCCACTCCATCGCCTGCGTCCCGGGCTGGCACGGGGCTCACACAGGCACCAAAGGCTGCACTCAATGCCTAGGAAGTGACTTCTGTTTCCTTCTTGTGTTTCTTACACCCCGCCCCCCTGGAAATGGGGCAAAGGTCCAGGTAAGACACCATTTTCTTAGGTTCCTCTCCATCCAAAATTTCCTTCCGTCCTCTGACACTCAGACTGGCCCAGTCCCTACCAGATTCACATCCCTTCACTTTCAACATTGAATTTTTTCTGTTCCCTCCAGCTCCTACCTGAGAGAGAGGAACTTCCTAGAAGCCAAACACCTAGAGAGGAAATAACAGGCCTTTGGGACTCCGTGAAATTGCGGAATAACTTGGGAGGGAAGGCGCTGCGGAGCCTGTCGCCTGCTTTTGTCTGCCCAGGGTGCCGGAGCAGCTGGCTTTGGACGGGCACCTTGGGCTTGAGCATTCGCCTCTGGCCGAGGTCTCGCGGCCTCCCTGGCCTCGCGTGTCTACCTCTCTCCGATCAAACCTCCAGGGTGCTCACTTGGCAAGAGCAGGGCAAAGGAGGTGCGCTTCGTTTGCCCTTGATAAGAAACACTTGCCCAAGAAATTCGTATTTGTTAAGTGACAGCATGTCAGAAGAATCCAGTTTTGTGTTTCAATGACAGGCTTCTGCTGATGGACACGCCAGGGTGGAGCCGGAACACCTAACGATCATTATGTGTGACTGGTTCAGAATACCCTCTCATGCCTCATGTTTTCTTTTTCTTTTTTTAAATATATTTTTCTTAATTTCAGAGAGGAAGGGAGAGGGAGTTAGAGTTAGAAACATCAATGATGAAAGAGAATCATTGATTGGCTGCCTCCTGCACATCCCCCACCGGTAATCGAGCCTGCAACCCGGGCATGTGCCCAGACCAGGAATCGAACCCTGACCTCCTGGTTCATAGGTCGACGCTCAACCACTGAGCCACGCTGGACGGGCCATGCCTCATGTTTTGAAAACATGCTGTCCTCTCTCCTTTCAGAGTGATAAGACTAAGTAGCCAGGAGAGAATACATAACTGCCCAAGACATCTGTGATACTGTATTGGACTGGAGGGTGCGCGATCAAAGATATAAGTTGGAAGGTGAGAGGAAAAGAAAAGAGGGGCTGGACTTTTGCCCAGTGGCTGGGGGGTGAGGGGGAGAGATAAGGGTTTCACAGTTCATACTTTTCCAGGAGAGCTGAACATAAACCTATTTCATGGATTACACTTGGCCCAGAAACCTGTTCCCATAAGAGCTCTGGCTGACTGGAGACACAGGGAGATGAGTCCCACGCTGAAGGGAAAGAATACACTGAGATGGACTCGCTGGGTCTGGTGCCAACTCTAGGAAATAGAAGTCAGAGGGAGCCTCTTCGCAGTAATACTTCCCCAGGAGCAACGCAGCACCCCCTGGTGGCTGACGGCTGTGAATGTCATTGCAATTTCCTGGAAACGGTGCCACCTGCTGCACGCTCTGGGGCCTGCTGATTTGTCAACCAAACTTCCACAGGTACTTTCAATTTACCTACTTAAAGGAGGCAGTGTTGGGCTTTTGGAAGTGAACTTGTGAAATAAAAGAAAGCGAACGTACAAAATGGTTTGGCTGCAGCCATTAAGCCAGCGGTTCTCAACCTGTGGGTCGCGACCCCTTTGGTGGTCAAACGACCCTTTCACAGGGGTGGCCTAAGACCATCCTGCATATCAGATATTTACATGACGATTCATAACAGTAGCAACATTACAGTTATGAAGTAGCAACGAAAATAATTTTATGGTTGGGTCACAACATGAGGAACTGTATTTAAAGGGCCAGAAGGTTGAGAACCACTGCATTAAGCCGACCATGCTCTCTTCCCCCATGGGGGCCTGGTGTGCAATGGCTGCAAACAGTTGCATTCTGATTTATTTTTAAGTATTTACTTATGTTTGCTTGTAGATGTCCAGTTATTCTAACATTGTTTCTTGAAAAGATGATCTTTTCAACACTTGTGTTTGTGGATGTATTGATGTTAGCCATTCTGACAGGTGGGAGGTGATATCTCATTGTGGTTTTGTGTGGAGGTTCCTCAAAAATGTAAAAATAGAACCACCATGTGATCTGACAATTCTGCTTCTGGGTATTTATCTGAGGAAATCCAAAGTGCTAATTTAACAATATATATGCATTCCTATGTTCATTGCAGCATTACTTATAGTGGCCAAAACATGGAAGCAACCTAAGTGCCCATATATAGATGAATGGATAAAAAAGACGTACATAGCCCAGCTGGTGTGGCTCACTGGGTTAGAGCAATTCTCAGGCACCATCTGTGTGTCCTACAATCCAACTCAGTTCTGACACTATCTACCCACTGGTTAAGGTCGCAGTCCTACAAAACTGCCCCCCTTCCCCACGTCAGACACCAACTGCAACTCCAGTTTGTCCTCTGAGCTCTGACCAATTGACTGTAGATCAGGGGTTCCCACAACCCCCCTCTTGGGTTCAATTAATTTGCTATAGTGGCTCATAGACTCAAAGAAACAGGTTACTTACTAGACTACCAATCTTCTATATATATAAAAGGCTAATATGCAAAGTGTCCCCTTGGGAGTTCAACCAGGAGAAGGGAGTTCGATCACTCGCTATGATGTGCGCTGACCAGGGGGCGGTGCGGAACATGGCCAGCGACCAGTGGCAGCTGCGGGGCACTGAGGGAGTGAGGGAAGGAGGAGGCGGGAAGGTGAGGAGGCAGGGAACCTGATTGGCCCTGATTGCTGGGCAGGCCTAGGGACCCTACCTGTGCACAAATTCTGTGCACCGGGCCTCTAGTTTATTATAAAAGGAACAGCCAGATGGGAAGGGTCTCGCTTCTGTGCCCACTCCAGCACCTTCACCTATTCACCAGCCTGGAAGTTCTCCTACTTGAGTTTTAATGGAGGCTTCAATACAGAGACACATTTTTGGTTGTTGTTTGTTTGTCTTTAATATATTTTTATTTATTTCAGAGAGGAAGGGTGAGGGAGAGAGAGATAGAAACATCAATGATGAGAGAGAATCATGGATGGGCCGCCTCCTGTACACCCCACACTGAGGATCCAGCCTGCAACCCAGGCAAGTGCCCTGACTGGGAATTGAACCTTGACCTCCTGGTTCATGGGTCAATGCTCAACCACTGAGCCACACCAGCTGGGCAGAGACACGTTTGATTAAACCACTGGCCATTGATGATGAACTCAATCTCCAGCCCTTCTCCCTTCCCTGAGGTGGGGATGGGGGCTGTGACTGAAAGTGCCAACCCTCTAACCACGTGGTTGGTCCCCCTCAGGCACTTTCCAAAAATCATCTTATTAACATAACAAAAGACACCCTTTTTTCTTCCATTAGAAAATTCCCAGGGTTTTAGGAGCTCTGTGCCACACTGGAGGCAAAAACCAAACACATATTTTTTATTCTAAATCCCAACATCACAAGACCCCAGGCATTTGGTGCAGACTCTGAGGGGGCTCCAGTGATCCCCTGAGATCCGGGGGGACAAGAACCAGTGACACTGGAGTTGTTAACTCGGGATATGTTGCTTCCACAGATCTGTGAAGACATGAGAAAAGTTTAAGTAGAAAGGGGAACTGTGGGGAAGCACGGGACTTGGTTGGAAAGTCTGTAAGGAGGATTCTCCAAAAGGTCGGGGGCCTCTGAGGGGACCTTGCCAAAGGCGGCAGCCCCTACCTTGACTTTTCCAAGCAAGTCCGAGCCCCCGGGTGCTTAGCTAGAATCTCTATGTTTAGTGTTTCAAGACCCGACCTTGTAGAAGCACATACTTTCTCAAGGATACTTACCCTGCTGATTGTATCTAATAGTTAATTTTAGTCCAAGCTGTTGTGCTAGTAAAAGCCAAAGGAGGCAGGCGAACAAGGCTATCTGGTGGCGATAGGCCAGTAGTCCTGTAGCCTCTCTTTCACAGAAACATGTGTCAGAGTAATCATTCATCCGCCATTCAGGGTCTGCCATCAGCCCCAGCAGGAAATTTAAACTTAGTCCCTTCAGAAGCCATTGGCCCCTCTGCTCCACCCCGACACCTTCAAGATTCATCTTTGCCCTTTCACAGAGCTGGAAGCTGGGAGGTTGTCTGACCACCTATCACGTTGCAAAAGGTGGAGGTAGGATCTCATTTGACTCAACATGAAGCTCCCACTGACATGTCTGTCATCCCAGAGAAGGTTCCTAGCAGCTGTCTCCAAGTTCCAAGGGGTAGGAACTACACCGTAGATAATAAATCAAAACACCATTGGTGCCCCCTCAACACCCGCCGTCGCTCCCCTCCCCTTCCTCTGTCAACCATTCTGCTCCTCTCCTCTCCCTCCAGCTCCAATGAGCTTCCACAGCCTCCCTCCAACCTACACACAATGCTCCCCATCCTTTCTCCTCCTTCCAATTCCCCATGCCAAGACTGAGCACCTGTCAGAAACTGTGCTACCTCTGTCTGGGCCGCGGGAACCTCCTGTCTACCCCCCACTTCCTGAGGTCCCGGGCCTCCCGACAGCTGGGTCCTTCCTGGCTCCCCTCCCATCACCAAGCCAAGCCAATGTTCCAAAATAGTCTCCCGAACAATGAGGACAACTGCGCAGTTATTCTGCAAGGTCTGTGTGGCCAAGACTCAGGACAATGCAGGAAAGACAATGGGGAGGGGAGGAACGCTACTGGGGCCGATGAATTCAAAACCTGCATTTTTCCTAAAGGATGACCAGAGAATGAATGGGCATAAGGCTAAAACCACAGCCAGGGCCCTACAGCTTCCCATCCCTAAGACTGTAAAGACAGAGAAATGGCTTCCCTTAAAATTGCCTTCATTACCCTCACAGGGTGACCAGGATGCAGGGCCTGGGTCACAAAAGGTGACGGCCTATTGGAAGGGCTAGCGCTCTTCAAACTGCAGTTTCTAAAGGGCCCAGAATGGAGTCCAGTTATACCTGGTGATAAGGACTAACTGGAGCTTTAAACAAACAGGATCGGTTGGGAGGGTCTATGGGAGGAGCTAGGGCTTATGGGAGTTCTCACACTTGGCATAATCGCGAGAACCCTACACGCGAGAACCCTACAGAAATCATTCCATGTTTATAAGAAAGCTCTCTGGTTCCAACTTCCCTTTCCCTTCACTTCTGTTTTCCCGCCTATGAATTCCCTCCACCTTAGCACGCAGGCCAGGTGCGTGTGGCTCGTCATGTCCACACAGACAGCAACCCTTTCTTTTTCCCCAAATCCTTTGTGCTGACAAAACACCGAGTCGATATTATTTTCCAGTCAACAATAGCAATATTTTTCTTCTTTATTTTTGTAAATGTTATAAAACATACAGACGGCTGCCAAAACCGGTTTGGCTCAGTGGATAGAGCGTCGGCCTGCGGACTGAAGGGTCCCAGGTTCGATTCCGGTCAAGGGCATGTACCTGGGTTGTGGGCACGTCCCCAGTGGGAGATGTGCAGGAGGCAGCTGATCGATGTTTCTCTCTCATCGATGTTTCTAACTCTCTATCTCTCTCCCTTCCTCTCTGTAAAATATCAATAAAATATATTTAAAAAAAAAACAAAAAAAAAAACATACAGACGGAAACATAAAGTCATTACGTTTACCCTTTGATGAATTGTCACCAAATGAAAGCATCTGTGAAACCGTCACCAGATCAAGAAACAGAGCAAAATCCCAGCCCCCCGCCCCCCCCCCCCCCCCCCGCCCCCCAAAACCGGTTACTCCTGGGGGCCCAGGCCCGGGGCAAACCCCCTTCCGACATTTAAAAATGTAAAAAAAGTGTTTTGTTTTTTAAAACCCAAAGAGGAAAAAACAAAACCCCAGATAAATTTCGGAAGGGGTTTTTCCCCCCCCCCAAAAAAAGGGGGTGAGGGATTTCCGTGTCTGGGGGGGGGGTTGCCCCTTTTTTCATTAGGGCGCGAATTTGGCGAGAAGGGAAAAAGGAACCCCGGGGTTGGCCCCCCCAAAAAAGTTGAAGGGATTTCGGGAGAGTTTCCCTC